ATTGGGGCCACCTACCATTTCTCAGTCATCCACAAAAGATGTTTCTGCTCCACCAGCATCCGGTGTGTGAACTCTGGTTCTTGGCTAATTGACTGAGTAAATGTTGTTGACAACAGCTGTGCCCAGTGGTTGACCTAGATCCTCTTGCTAGATTTAGTGCCCTGCTTCCATCCCAGAATTTTCAATCTTAGCAAAGCAGGGTGGCATTGTGACTTTTTTGGGCCCTAGTCACTTTCACCTTCATGGGTCCCTCCCTCCATTAAATTAAAAATTAAAATTGTGTTTTATGACTGCGTTGGTATGAAGAAGAATTTCTTAATATTATATATTAAATAATTTTCTTCCAGCTCATTTTTTTCTTCTGATTTTTAAAGTAATTACAACATTTTCATGAGCTTCACAGTCCTAAGTACTGTGCTGGAAGACCTGGGTTGAATCTCTGTCACTTACAGACTGACTTGAACATTAGGTTCTTCATCCTAATCTCTTAGGGTGAGTGGAGAGAAATGAGTGAAGGGAGTCAAATGGTAAAAAGAAAAAGAAAAAAAGAAAAGAAAACTTGAAATGTGCCATGTAAATCTTAGCTCATTGGGCGCATGGCAGCTCAAGGACCACTCTGATCCAGGCCTCACCCTCAACTCACAGGTGGTGACTGCGCTGGGCCGTACTTGGCACCCTGAGCACTTCATTTGCGGTGGCTGTTCCATGTCCCTGGGAGGCAGCAGCTTCTTCGAGAAGGATGGAGCCCCCTTCTGCCCTGAGTGCTACTTTGAGCGCTTCTCCCCACGTTGTGGCCTCTGCAATCAACCCATCCGACATGTGAGCTGCACCTGTCCCACAAACCCCACCTCACCCAGGGTCCCTGTGGGGTGGGCCCCATTCAAATCACAGCCCCCGCCCACCCATGCTAAGCCCCTTGGCCGTGTCCAAGGCCCTTTGGACTCCACCCACTCTCTTTGACTTCCAAGTTCCTTGTTAGGTCTCTTGTGCCTCAAACTCCTACTTAAACCCAATTGCATAGGTTCAGGGTGGGAGAGGAAGGGAAGAAGGGATGGAAGGCCATACTGAGTGTCCTCGTTCATGCCCCACAGAAGATGGTCACTGCCTTGGGCACCCATTGGCACCCAGAGCATTTCTGCTGCGTCAGTTGTGGGGAGCCCTTCGGAGATGAGGGTGAGAGCTTGGCTCCAGTCTTGAAAGCCACCGGTCTGCTCAACATCCCGCCTAACCCACTTTGGTCCAGCCTGCTAAGACCTTCCAAGTCTTCTGGCCCCACCCTCTCCCACTTGCGAGTCCCCATCCTATCTCCTCCCCCTAGGCCCCCACTCTAGACCCCATCCCTCCCTCTCTGCTGCTCAATCTGACCACCCCTCATCTGGCCTTCCAGTCTCAGATCTTGCAAGTCTTGGGTGCAGCCTGCACCCTTTTCTTTCGGCCCTGCTCCTGCCTCTAGGTTTTCATGAGCGTGAGGGCCGCCCCTACTGTCGCCGGGACTTCCTGCAGCTGTTCGCCCCGCGCTGCCAGGGCTGTCAAGGCCCCATTCTGGATAACTACATATCCGCGCTCAGCGCCCTCTGGCACCCGGACTGTTTCGTCTGCAGGGTGCGCTCCTATGGGGGGAGGTGTTGGGGGGGTGGCGGGGAGCGGTGGATGGGGAGCTGGGCCAAAAGGGGAGCCCAACTAGGAGCCTAGGCCCAAGACAGGGTGTGTCACATCTGGGGTGGGGCTGTGGAGGGTGGGGTTGTCACAGTGGGTTATTAAGCTCCTAAAGTGAGTTATCTGGTCAGGGGATTGTTGGCTGACCCATCCTTTCACGGCCACCCTCCCCCAGGAATGCTTCGCGCCCTTCTCGGGAGGCAGCTTTTTCGAGCACGAGGGACGCCCTCTGTGTGAGAACCACTTCCACGCGCGGCGTGGTTCATTGTGCGCTACGTGTGGCCTCCCGGTGACCGGCCGCTGTGTGTCAGCCCTGGGCCGCCGCTTCCACCCAGACCACTTCACCTGCACCTTCTGCCTGCGCCCTCTCACCAAGGGCTCCTTTCAAGAGCGTGCAGGCAAGCCCTACTGCCAGCCCTGCTTCATCAAGCTCTTCGGCTAATGGCTTGTGGGGCTCTCCACCCACCCCTGATGCCCCCACCCAGGAGACCAAGGCCCCAGAGACCCCCACTCTTCCCCAAAAGACGTGCTCTCCTGACCCAAAGGCCTTGCTCTTTGAGCTTGGGGCTCTCCCCACCCCATCCTGTGAGGCCCCACCCGCTAGAGAGACCCCCCACCCCCAAGGTGCTGTACTCTTAAGTTCTCTGTGGTCAGAGAAGATCTGGCCAGTTTCAAAGCCACACTGCCCCAAAGTGGGTCTCACAAGTAGAGCCACCCTGCGTGAACTCTTCACTTTATCCCCAACCTTGAGGGAGCCCCCTTATGGGGCAATTCCTAATAATCAGAGGACAGGACAAGACATCCCTGCTCCCTGCTCCCTCACTATTCTGAGCACTTTTTTTTCTACCTGCATAAAAACATGTTCCACATCACACTGGTGCTGTGTCTCTGACTGCCCTGGGGTGGGGGCGCGAAGTGGGGAAGCCTTGCATGGTGAAGCCCTGCCTCTGGTGTCTCTGGCTGCAGCAGGTTCTAGGTCATCACCCTGTGGCCGCAGTGGACCTACAGCCTCAGCCGTTGCATGCTGTCCTTCACATATCAAATGAGCCTGCGCAGGATTGTACAGATAGTGGCCAGCCAGGACAGGAGCTCAAGCTGGGCCCCGTGGAACCTTCCCACCCTCATTCCCCACTTCTTTAGCTCCATGTATTCTTGAAATAAGCAATTAATCTGTCTCCACCCTCACCACCTTGTCTAATTTCCAGATTTTTAAGACCCTCAGAGAGGGGTTCCATCCAGAAGTGCCAGTTTATGCCCACCCTTTGGATCTGGGCACTAAGGCACAGCTTCCCTCTTATTTATATTGACTCATTACATCTCCCCTAGGCAGAGAATGACATGTGGGATGGTCAGGACAGTGACTGAAGGAAGCACTAGGGGCTGTAGGAGCCAGAAGAAGGCTTTTAACTCAGATCAGGGGTCAAGGAGCTAAGCCACAGCAGAAAGGGGTGGGGCCAGGGATTTTTAGGTGTGGAGTTTAGGCTCTGATTCCCCAAATCCCTTTCTGAGCCCCTGAACCTTCACTTTGAACTCTGCAATTCCCTAGTGAGGGGGCCTGGATTCCTGGATCTAAACTATAAATCTAGATCTAAACAATAGCCTTTGAGGCTGAAAATGATGGATTGATTCTCAGAGGTCCTTCCTACTTAAGGAAGACCTGGTAGCCAAGGAGAGCATGTGTGGGTAAGAGACAAAGGTGAGATGTTCTCTGTCCTTGCTTCGAGCTCACCACCCCCATATCCTTTCCTAGGTCTTCCCAGGCCTCCTGCTCTTCTCCTTCCATATATTCTCCCTGGGGAATGCTGTCTATTTCCTGGATGCTAACTACCTCTCTGTCTTGAGAATGCTCAAATTGGCCAGCTCTTGTCTCAATTCATTCATTCATCAAGTGTTCTTTGAGTACGTACTGTGGCAGGTTCTATACCAAGTGCAAGGAGACCATAGGGAACCAAGCAAACATGCTTCTTGACCTCTTGGAGCTGAAGTCTAGTAGAGGAGACAGATGACAAACAAGTACACAAGTGACATGTGTAATGAACTAATGGAGACTTTCCTGATGGTTTAAGTGAAGTTCACTCTTCCCCCTTGTTTCCATCCGCAGCACCTCCCTAGTCCCTCATAGTGCTTATCTAATGCAAATAGGTGTTTATTTGTTGCTTGTTTATGTCTGTTTCTGAAACTTGAATACAAGCTCCTGAGAGCTATCTGTCAGATTACACATTTGTTTTGCTTACCATTATCTCTCCAGTTTCTAGAATGCTATCTAGCATGTGGTAGGTGCTTAATAAATGTTTGTTAATGAAGGAAAGAATGAGTAAGAAAGGAAAGGAGGGAAGGTGAAAAGGGGAAAAAAACAGAACTAAGTTGGGGAAGGGATTACTTTAACCAGATAGTCAGTCCCTGTGAATATGTAATGTGTAAGTTGAGACTTGGAAGGTTGACAAAAGAAAACGGTCAGGCAAAGAGCTTAAGGAGAGCATTTAGGGCAGAGGAAACAGTAGGACCAGGAGGTAGGAAAGAGTTTGGCATATTGAAAGAAAGGAAAGAAGGCCATATGGCTGGATTAGAGAGAGGAAGGGGGAGAGTAGTAGAAGGTGAGATCAAATAGGAAATAGGAACCATATCATGAAGGGTCTTGTGGGCCACAGGACAGCAGATAGATTTTAACTGCCTATAATCCCAATATGCCCAACACTTGCACCTGGATTTCTCTCAGGCACTTCAAATTCATCACCCCTTGAGGCAGACACTGTGGATGCCCTGCCCATATCCACTTGGACCACTATGTACACAGTTCCCAGACACCTAGTCTCCCCAGCTGCTCCCTGAGTTTCTCTCTGAGGGTGCTCTCTGGGATAACAAGTGTGCTCCTGCACCCAGCAGGCCTGAAGTAGGAGGGGGAGGTTCTGTAAACTTAGAGACAGGAATTGATAAATACTCTAGCTCCCTGGCTCTGAGGGGTCAGTTCTGAGGTGTGTATCTCAAAGAGTCCTCACTGGGATTGTTCACAGTGGTAGCCTTTTAGTCATCATTCCCTTTATTGGTTTTTCTTTTTCTTTGTCTCACTTCCCTACTCCTTCATAGTCCTTCCTGGGGTCACCTCCTCAGGAAAACCCTTGCCCTAAATTCTCATCTTAGGGTCTGCTTTTGAAGGCACCTAAACTAAAGCATTCCTTAAATATAACTCATATCCCCCTAAAATATTGTTTTCTGTTCTCTATCTCAGGCATGAACCCAACTGTCATAATCAGACATCCAAATCTGGTCAATTCTTCTAGAAAGGTAGAGATACTGATATTTATCAACATCCTCCCTTCTTATAGTCAGCCTTGTGCTGAGCAATGGGACTCTAGGGATGAATCTGATCATTTCCTGCTTGTGAGTAGTCTCTAGTCTGCTGGGAAGACAGACCTGGACCCATATGAGGACAACACAATGTGCTCAGAACTGTATCAGAAAAGTCAGAGAATTCTTTCCTGAAGAGTTGACATGGGCTGGATACTGAAGGCTACCACTTGAGAGTTAGGAGTGAGCCCTTTGGGAGGCAAGAAGGCACTGTAAGCAGAAAGCACAGCTTAGGCAAAAGTTTGGGTGTGTGAAAATACATGGGCTGGGCAGGGCAAGAGAGGTGGAGGGAAATATGATTTCACTCTATGTTTGGTATAGAGGACCAAGGGGAGGGGTGGGCAGGAGTCAGGGTGTGACAGGCCTTGAACATCAGGCTAAAGAGTTCCTACTTCCTTCCTAGTATGATGGGGAACTGGGAAGGGTTTCTAAGCAGGGGAGTGACACTGTCAGATTTGGGTTTGAAAGTGATCCCTCTGGATTAGTCAGAATCAGGAGATTGGCTCAGCCCTACTCCCTAGATCAAGGCTGAAGGGTGAGCAATTTTAGGGGATGAAAGGAGAGATTTTGCGTTTGGGGCACTGGGGCAGGGATGGGAGCTAAGGCCCAGGAAAGAGTGCTCCTGAACTTGAAAGTGACCAACTCCACTAGATGAGCTTTCGGCCTTGATGTGACCTGACTCAGCTAAATGAAGCTGGGGAGGGGAGAAAAGACCTGGGGGAGTTGTCGGCTCACTGCTCCTGAGGTAACCATTAATCCCTCTCCTGGGGAAATCCAGGGGCTGGTCCCTAGAGGGACAGATCCTAGGCAGAATGGAGGAACACATGGAGGCAGGCTCCGCACCAGGACTGGGAAACCAGAGGGTCCTAATTAACAACCTTGCTGACATCCTGGTCATTGCTGCTTATTTCCTGCTGGTCATTGGTGTCGGCTTGTGGGTGAGAAATTAGGGTGCTTCTGGGGGTCAGGATTCTGGGCCTGGGGGAAAAGTCTCAGGCAGACCCTATGTTCAGCAGGGGCAGGATGCCTGGATCTTTGAGGGAGACACCTGGGGCTGAGGGGCAAGCAAGTCTTTTGATAGCCTCAGGAAGGCGCAGCCAACACTCATTCCTTGTCTTCCCACCTTTGGATTGGGCTATTTGAAGGGGTCAGTGGATTTCCATCAGGGACAGCATTCTAAATGAGGTCTCTGTTCCCCTGTCTACATATCTGACCAGAAGCCTATTCATGACTCAAGGTCTCAGGAAAAGTCAGGTCAAATCCAGCCACACTTAAATGTGGGTGTTTGGGCACTAGGTTGGGGCCTGGGTTACTCTGGGTGCCTTGGAGGAGGTTGGGGCAGGGGGTTGGGTGGGAACCATCAAAAGAGCCCAGGACTGGTTAATCTTCAGCCTGAAACAAGGCTGAGGAATGTGTTGAGAAGGCTAATGAGGTCCAAAGATGTGCCCTGAACCCAAGTCTCCTCCCACTCCTGTCCCTCAGTCCATGTGCAGAACCAACAGAGGCACCGTTGGCGGCTACTTCCTCGCGGGACGAAGCATGGTGTGGTGGCCGGTGAGAGAGGCTGTGCCATGGAGTGGGAGGAGGCCTAGAGAAGCAGCCTAGTTCACCCCCACCTCTGGCCATCTAGGTCGGGGCCTCTCTCTTTGCCAGCAACATCGGCAGTGGCCACTTTGTGGGCCTCGCAGGGACCGGTGCTGCAAGCGGCTTGGCTGTGGCTGGATTTGAGTGGAATGTGAGACCCCCCCCCCTTTTTTTTGCCAATAACCCCCACCCCAGTGGGAGCCCCTGGAACTGTCACATCTGCTCCAAGCAGGGGGCATATAAGACTGGATGTGGGACTTCCCAGTAGTGGGGTGTGGTTGGGCTTTGAGTGAGGGTCGCACATCTTGCTTGGAGGCAGGGGAACGTTGGAGATGACCACTTTCAGGGCAGGGGTAGGTCTTGCTCCTGACTTGCTGTCTAAGCCTCAACCAGCTACTACCCTCTGTGGCCTTGAGTTACTCCTCTCTGAAGTGGGGTGAAGAGCCTTAAAGATAGTGAAGTCCTTACTCTGATGCTCTCTTGAATCTGTGGCCTGTGAGGATCTCTGGACCAAATTAAAGCCCCCTGCAGAAGTGGGAAGGAGACAAAGCTCTGGGACTGAGGCTTGTCTTTGAGGGTTGGGGAGACCAGGGCTTCCTGGAGGAGGAGGCCTCTAAGCAGAGTCTTGAGGGACAGAAAGTTTGGGTGGGTGAAGAGAAGAGGAGAAGTCGCCCTTCCTGGCAGAGGCTGAGATCAGGCTGAGGAGTCTATGGTTGTATTCATGTGCTGGGGGGTGGGGGGATAGGACCCATCTTAGGAAGAACTGGCCTGGGAGGATTGGCAGGGCTCTAGTTAAAGGCCCAAGAAGGTGTCAAGACCCTGTCCCTTAATGTCCAGGGCCCAGGGCCCAGGGCCATCCTCTGCAGTTGTATCCTCTGAGCCCCGATTTGGACCTTTCCTTGATGTAGCACATTCAGGAAGAGGTCTCTTAGACTCTAAGGGGAGGGCTAACTCAAGGAAGGATCTCAGTCATTCTCAGCTGTCATGCTGTGCCCGCAGGCGCTGTTCGTGGTGCTATTGCTCGGCTGGCTCTTCGCGCCCGTGTACCTGACTGCGGGTGTTATTACCATGCCACAGTACCTGCGCAAGCGCTTCGGAGGCCATCGTATTCGCCTCTACCTGTCAGTGCTCTCGCTTTTTCTGTACATCTTCACCAAGATTTCGGTGCGCACTCATGGAGGGGCCCTGGAAGGGCGGGATTCACGGAGTGGAGGTCTCTAGAAAGCCCTGGAAGGGGCGGGACCAAGGAAAAATCACTGTAAGAACCATGATGGAGGTAGGGTCTGGAAGGAGTAGGCTTTGGGGCTGGGGCCACAATAGGTGGGACCTGGGAGGCCAGACCTTCGAAAAATGAGAGAACCTCTGAAGCGTGGCCACATAGGGTCATGGTCTGGAAAGGAGATAGACCTGGGTCCCTTGCCCTGGTTCCCGGTCCTGACCTGTGCAATCACTCCTTCCCCCAAGGTGGACATGTTCTCCGGGGCAGTATTCATTCAACAGGCTCTGGGCTGGAACATCTATGCCTCCGTCATTGCCCTTCTGGGCATCACCATGATCTACACTGTGACAGGTTGCTGTGGCAGGGGCTTAGGGAAGGAATGGGCTGGGGAGATGTGCTGGGAGCGTCACTGAAGCACATTCGGCTCACTAAGCCCTGCCTCCTGATGCCCGGGTACATGAGCCTGAAGAATGGGCTATTTCTTTGAAATTTGCTCTCCAGGAAGGGGCACAGTTTTCAAATTTGCACAAAGACACCATATGTACGCGGGGCAGCCTATTTGGGCTGTCTCCACTAACCCAGACCCTTTGCAGGAGGGCTGGCAGCGCTGATGTACACGGATACTCTGCAGACTTTCGTCATTCTTGGCGGGGCCTTCGTCCTCATGGGTTACGGTACGGAGCTCAACCAGTGGGGGAGGGGCACGGAGGTTGCAAGTTGCAGAGTTCTCCACCTGGGAGCAGAGGCAGCGCATGTGGGTCCTAGGGAGGGCCTTGGCGTGGGCCCCAGGTCCCCTGACAGCCTTGCCCTCACAGCCTTCCACGAGGTGGGCGGGTATTCGGGGCTTTTCGACAAATACTTGGGGGCAATGACGTCGCTGACGGTTTCTGAGGATCCGGCTGTGGGCAACATCTCGAGTTCCTGCTATCGACCCCGGCCCGACTCCTACCACCTGCTCCGGGACGCTGTGACAGGGGACTTGCCGTGGCCTGCACTGCTCCTGGGTCTTACCATCGTCTCAGGCTGGTACTGGTGCAGTGACCAGGTGCGGGGTCAGGGCTTTAGCCGGGAGCTAGGCCGGGGCAGAACCAGAACCGCTATGAGCAGGGCTGAGATGGGTGGAGCCAGAACACATCTGTGGGAGCCCCACTGCATGGTCTGAGGGGTCGGGAACTTGGCCAGGGTGGAGTTAAACCAGTGCCACTGGGATCCAAAGAATTTGGGTCTGTAAGTGAAAGCGAATTGCCAGCAAGTGAATTGCTGAGCCAGAGGCAGGCCTGAATTAGGGCAACCAGTTAAGGCAAAGCCTGAGGGGCAGGGAATCCAGGACTGGTCACAGATTGTTGAACTGACCTTGCCCCAGGTCATTGTGCAGCGCTGTCTGGCCGGGAAGAACCTGACTCACATCAAGGCGGGCTGCATACTGTGCGGCTACTTGAAGCTGATGCCCATGTTCCTCATGGTCATGCCAGGCATGATCAGCCGCATTCTTTATCCGGGTAACGTCTGCAACCCCACCCCCATCAAGTGTCCTGTGCCCCATCAAGCCCCTTTCTTGTTGCATGCATTCAAGTGCCTGTTTTCCATTTCTGTTACTGTCCTTTGATTTGGGAATCCAGTCACCCAGTCCCACCTCCCACGAGGGGTCCCATCTCTCTTCCACTAGGATCTCCCATCCCCACTTCAGGGATCCGAGTTCCCAGACAAGGTCCCGTTCTAGCCATGTCATGCTCTCTTGCCTGCAGATGAGGTGGCGTGCGTGGTGCCCGAGGTGTGTAAGCGTGTGTGCGGTACTGAGGTGGGCTGCTCCAACATTGCCTACCCGCGGCTGGTCGTGAAACTCATGCCCAATGGTGAGGGCAAGCGCACTGCGGCGATTGCCACTGGGAGGAGTGACCCCTTGCCAAGCCCGCACCCTCCTGGGGACACGTTGGTGGCCCTGGACTCACAGTTACAATCGGCCTGCAGGTTTGCGTGGACTCATGCTGGCGGTCATGCTGGCTGCGCTCATGTCCTCACTGGCCTCCATCTTTAACAGCAGCAGCACGCTTTTCACCATGGATATCTACATGCGCCTGCGGCCCCACGCAGGGGACCGTGAGCTGCTGCTAGTAGGACGGTGCGGCCTGGGTTTCCCCCAGGTCCTGCCCCACAAATCAGCCTTGGGGTGGGGGCAGAGAACACTCGGAGGATTGGGGGAGATGGGGGTCCTGGGTGTAATCTGCTGATGGCCACCCACTGCAGGCTCTGGGTGGTGTTTATTGTGGCTGTGTCAGTGGCCTGGCTACCCGTGGTGCAGGCAGCGCAGGGAGGGCAGCTCTTTGATTACATCCAGGCAGTGTCCAGCTACCTGGCGCCACCTGTGTCTGCTGTCTTTGTGCTGGCGCTCTTTGTGCCCCGTGTCAATGAGAAGGTAAGCCTATGTGTAGGTTGTTAGCTTGGGTCAGAACTGGGGACACCTGGAAGAGGCTGACATTCTCTCCCCTGGCAGGGTGCCTTCTGGGGACTGATTGGGGGCCTGTTTATGGGTCTGGCACGCCTTATCCCCGAGTTCTCCTTTGGCTCGGGCAGCTGTGTACGACCCTCCACATGCCCAGCACTCTTCTGCCGTGTGCACTACCTCTACTTTGCCATTGTGCTCTTCGTCTGCTCTGGCCTCCTCATCCTTGTAGTATCACTGTGCACAGCACCTATCCCACACAAGCATGTAAGTACCAGCTTCTGGATGGGTACCAAACATGCACCCTGTGTGTGAGTGTAGCCCTCTCTACCCCTAGTCTGCCAGTCCACTTCCAGGAATGCCCAGTGGGGAAGACCTGAATTTCTATGCTGAGGGTTCATTAAGGGTAGGCTGGGAGTCCAGTTGGAAGTTGCATTTGTAAAGCAAGAACAATGTTTTATTTAAATGACATTTATTTGAGGTGGTCTGGGGGGAGGTGGCTTGAAGACTGTCTGACAAAGTCCCTGGCATGGCCTGTGGAACTCAAAACACAGGATCTGACTGGTGGCTGAGAGGGGCAGAGTACCATTTTGAAGGCCCACAAAGAGTTTGGTCTTATGCTGTTGCAGGGCAGATGCCCCAGGGTAGGGTTGATTGGGGGCCAGGACAAAAGAGCTGGGCAGAAGGATAGGCCGGTAGAGAAGGGGGGAAAGGCAGCAGGAGGAAACTATGTGGACAAATATCCACAGGAAGGTACACTGTTAGCAGGACTAGAAGACCAGGGTCTAAAGTACTACAATTTGAATGTAGAGGGACCTGGGTTGATGAAGCAGGGGGTGAGCAGGGCCAAGAACTTTAAACACACAGCTGAAAGGCCTAGGTTTAGTATGAGGGCAAAAGGCAGCCATGGAAAGTTGGGTTTGAGTGAACGGAGTCTGGATTAAGTATACAGGCTGGACCGAGGGTGCTAAGGGGGTACCAGGTGGACAAGAGACTTCAGGGTCTGGGGTGGGGGAACAGCACTTTCACTTGGTCCCCACTCCCTTCCCCAGCTCCACCGCCTGGTTTTCAGTCTACGGCACAGCAAGGAGCAGCGGGAGGACCTGGATGCCGATGAGCTAGAAGGTTCAACTTCACCCCCTGTACAGAATGGATGTCCTGAACATGCAGTGGAGATGGAGGGTAAGGCACTGCTTCAGGAGGTGGGGCTAAGGACTAGGGGAGCCAGCTTTCCTCAAACTAACTGTAGGGTGTCAATTTTCCCTAGAGCCCCAGTCCCCAACACCGGGCATGTTCCGCCGGTGCCTGCTCTGGTTCTGTGGAATGAGCAGGAGTGGGGCAGGTAGTCCCCCAGCCCCTACCCAGGAGGAAGTGGCTGCAGCAGCCAGGCGGCTGGAGGACATCAGTGAGGACTCGAGTTGGGCCCGTGTGGTCAACTTCAATGCCCTGCTAATGATGGCCGTGGCCACGTTCCTCTGGGGCTTTTATGCCTGAGGCCAACCGTGTTGGACACCATGAGCCACTGCCAGGGCAGGGCTCAGCTTCACAATGAATGGGAGTGGGAAGCCTGCAGTGGTGAGAAGGGAGTAGGGCAGGGAGAGGGAGGGGGAAGGCCCTGGTTCCCTTTCTCTCCACTGCCAGGGGCCCAGTCTACCTGACTGGCAGTCATAGCCCATGAGGCCTTGGCCAAACTGCCACAGCAGTTCCCCTAAGCAAAAATAAAGCTGCTGTTCCCACATTGTGCTGTGGCCAAAGTGTGCTTGCTTCAGGCTCCTGTCCTGAGACCTGGGTGGGCCTCCACCTCACAAGACCTTCTTTTCTGGAGACAGAAGCCATGTGGCTCTCCACTCATCCACCTCTAGCTGGTGCTTCTCAGTCTTCCAGCCTGCATCCTGCAGTCCTGGGGAGAGGTCATAAGGGTGCTGCTGGGACTGCTGGAGAGAAAACTCCAGGCTGACCCGGGGGAGAGTGGTAAGGAGTGGCACAAGCCAGGTACATGCTCTGTGCACTGCCCAGGCTCTACCAGCCTCTGTGGGGTAGTTTCTGGCACAAAACGGGGCTAAAACCTCATCTGGCTGCAGCATGAAGTCACTGAGTTAGTATATGGAAAAATGCTGGAATGGAGTAGGTGCTAAATGAAAGATCATCATCATTTGTGAGCCTCCCCCCAGTTCTTCAATGCCAATTGGGATTACACAAATTGCTAACATGACACAGCCTCTGGGACCATTCTACCTCCCTATCCTATTGACGGGGAAATGAGGTCCAGACTTAAGATCACAGAGAGAATCCAGGTCCTCCACCTCAAAGCTAGAGGTGTGGGGATAGCGTTAGGCAGAGCCTCTGGGGAGGAGGCCTCAGAAGCCAAGGAGCCATGGGGCTTAAAAATGTTACCTTTCAAGAACTTTGGGAATAGCTTGTCCAACACTTGGTGTGTGTCCCTGACGATGACCCAGTTGTCTTTCTCAGGACCTGGAGGGGGGTGCAGACCCAGAAGTTCTCAGGTCCCCAAGTGGAAGAGTCCTTCCTCTCTCTATGCCTCTTTGAGCCATCAACAGTCTACACTGTGAGGTGCTTACCTGCCCGTAATTGGTTCCTCAGTTCCTCCAGCCCTCTTGGGAGGGGCCCATCTCCCTGCAGGGCTTCAAGCACCAGCCCGTGTGTAGCAGCCCTTAGGATGGTTTCAGGGCCTGCCATCTGGCTCAAAACGACTTGCACCTGGTCTGGAGAAACCCAAGACAGACTGGTGCTAGGGAAGGGCCACCTCCCAAAACATTCTCAAACTAACCACCTTGCTTCATCCTTGTCTGCCCTGAGGCCTTGGCCTGCATGGATGGAGGCTATCTTTCACCCTTTTCTCTTCCAACTTCTCTCCTGTTGTTCCCAATGTCTGGCCAAACTGAAATGCCCAATTTCCAAATACAACTTTATAGCAGCTCACGAGGTGGGTTTATTTTGCATGTCCAACAAGAAGCATCTTTTAGCACACAACCAGCTGACCAGTAAACTCCAATACTTGTTTCCTCAACAGGTGACTCCGGATGGGAGAGAATAGTTCTCCAGGGGTAACCAAAGGTCATAATCTTATTTGAGTATGTTGCAATCTACAAAGTGCTTTACTTAATTGCCTTTCTCATAAAAACACACAGGCAAGTAAGGCAAGTACACAGGGACAAAGTGCATTTCATTGAGGCTTGCAGCTATAGTTTGAATTCACTAAGTTTTAGTCTAGAGCTCCCTCCAGGATACCAGGCAGCCTCTAAACTGTTCAGGGCTTGAGGCTCTGGAGCTGGTGGAATGAGAAGTTGACCTCAGAAGGGTGAATCTAATTCTGGAAGAGCACGGCACACTTACTTTGTGACAGGTCCCAGCGAAGGAGGTAGGGCTCTTGGTGTCCCTCAACCAGCTGTTGCAGGTCAAAAACACTGAGGGAAAGAAGAGAGTGAAGGGTGGGAGGAGGAGAAAGAAAAGCAGGAGTAACCATCCAGTCAACTGAACTGTCCTTACCTCATCTGTCCTTCACCTACTTCCCATCTCTCAGCCGTTACCCACGTACCCCATATCTATCTTTTTCTTCCTGCATCTAACAAATATATCCCTTGTATTTGCTGTTACAACCCTGCTCCCCTCAAGCATCCATGCTGACCCCAAGTCTGCTCAGTAGAAATAAAGAAACTAGAATAGAGAGGTGAGGCCCAATCAGGGGAGGCCAGAGCGTAACTGTAATAAAGAGCATGTGCGGGGAGGGTGGGAGGGCAGTACTGATGGGTGGGAGACACTGAGCCACTTACCTGGAGGTCAAGCGGTGTAGGGGGACCCCCAGGGATAGAGACTGAGATGGCCAAAAACCTGTGGGAAGCTGGATGTCAGGAGTCAGGAGGCCCAGACAGGGGGAGAGACTGGGAGACAGTACTTGAGACTAAGGGGGTGGATCACCTGTCCACAGTGGCTCCATCTGATTAGCTGAAGTGGGGCCAAGTACCTCTCCCCTCTGAAGGAAGTGCTTCAGGACCAGCCGGAGTCGGCCTTCATTCAAGGTCTCTATGACAAGGGCTCGGACTGCCCGGTAATTGGCGTAGATGTGAAGGGCAGTGAGGAAGAAGAAACAACCAAGGCTGAAGCTGGGGTGAGAGAGAGGTGGTCAACAGGGGCAGAGACCCAGCTGGGCACCTCTTCCCTGCCCTTGATCCCGGCTTACCCAGGGCAATCTGACACGAGGGGAAGCATCAAGAGACTGACCAGGAGCCCTGCCAGGTTTACCAGTGTCTCCTAGAAAAAGGCAGAGGGGTTGGAAATTAGATGTCTTCCTTCCAGGCCAGGCTGCATATCCTTGAGTGCCTTTCATCACATTCCTCCCTGCTCCAGAACATCCCAGGGCTCCCTACACTGATGAGGGTGCCTTAGTAAGTTTTTAATGTTTTGTTGAGTGGGTTGTCATTTAAGATACGAGATGCTTCTCTGTCCAGGTACATACAATATCCTTGGAACATGTCTTCTTTGTTTTGCAAGAGTCACCAGAGTAGTCCTACGCTTAGGCAACTGAATGTCCATAGAATAGGGAAGTACTTTTATTTGGTGGCTTAAAAAGATTGATCCCCCTTAGACCCTTGGTATGCAAAAACCGGGAGGCACATCTGCAAAAGGGTCAAGGAACCATCCAGGAAGGCTCAAGATCCAAACCTCTTCTCTTGAGAATCAATGTTACTAGAACCCTCTGCTGGCTTGAGATAGTCTGACTGAGCTCACCCAAGGGTGACAAACATCTACCCTTAAGTCATCATGAGGGAGGAAGAGTCTGGTTTGGTGGCCCTGACTAGTGGGGTCCAAGGGAGAGTTGGTCTTGAAGCTGGGAGAGCTCTTCTTACCCAGGTCTCCTGGCAAGGGGGCAGGCTGTGGAAATAAGGCAGTGGTTGTCATGGTAAATAAGAGATGAGACCTTGGTTGCACAGGAGCAGGAAGACCTCTTCTCCATCAGGTGGGAACAGTCATTTCCAGTGGCCACATCAGGTGGCAATAAAGCAACATCAGCAGAAAGCAGGGGCCTGCTACAGGGCTGAGCACATGTCCTGAGTTGCCCCTGAGATGTGTTCCTGCCTCTGCATACTGAGGAAGCCCTGGGACTTGGAAAATACAGCTTGGGGACATGGGGAGAGCTGGGGGTTAGAAAGAGAGCAGGTGAGAGCAGACATGAAGCTGGGAGATCCTAAAGTGCAGGACACGGGTTATACTTATTTCTCTCTTCCTAACAACCTATGGAAGAGACAGCAGGGAAGAATTGGTTCAACCATTTCCTGAGAGAAGGGATGTGCCCAAAGGTACCCAGGGTCACTGAACCTCTGACTTATTTCCTCTTTAGAAGCCAATGAGTACCTCCTGTATGAGGCCACCGTAAGTATTTAATGAGTTCATATAAATGACATACTTGGCACATGGTTAGTGCTCAATAAATATTAGCTTGTGTTAATATTTTTAGTTGTGTTAATATTATTGAAAGGAGTTAGTTTTAAATTTAAAAATTTTCTATTTAGAAACTGAGCAAAACAATTTAAGAGAAGGACAGAAAGTAGTACTGGACAGAACAGAGATTTCTAAATTGCTTCACTGTCAAAGAACACTGTGTCACACTTCTAACCTGGGCCTCACTTTCCTCTTCTGTAAAACAGAGATAATAATAGTATCTGCCTCATGGGGTTGTGTGAGAATTAAACAGTGCAATGCACATAAGCACTTAGCACAGGGGTTTGGGGGGATCCAATACCTGTTGAATTCAGCCTTAGGGGTGTCCCCACCTCTACTTGAGGGTGCTCTTGTCTGATGAGGGACCGGATCAGAAAGGCCTACAATACTGTCAAGTGGAGACCCCTGGCCAATGACCCCAGCCATCTCATATGCTGAGCACTTTTTCACTTGCCAAGTGCTTTAACATATGGGACACATGACCAGACATCTTCCTCTCAGTTTGGGACTATGGCCTAGAGAGGGTGAAGGTCAGGGCAAGGGCCCACTCTTGGCCACACAGGGAGAAAGGAGAGGCTGAGATGATCAGCTTGGGCTTTTTGCCACTAGAACTCATGCCATCAATTTGAGTCAAGAGCAGGGACTTCTTCCTGTGTCTCCCCTATCTACCCTCAGGAGCACTTAGGTACATCTCTCCATATTCCCAAATAATGGCCTAACCTGCCTCCCCGCTCCAACTCCCCCCAACCCCAATTCCAGCTGCTCACCTGACTGCTATCCTTGGCTGACACATCAGCCATGTTGTTTCTCCGGGCCTGGTGCATGGTCAGGGCAGCCCGAGTGGCCCCACCAGCCACACTCACAATGCACTAGGTGGGAAAAGGGAGAGTGAAGGTCAGAATGGACATGTGTTATGGCAACATAGGCACCTCTATGGCTGAGCTGAGTAAATGACCCAAACCAGTTTGAGAAAACCAGGCACCAGGTGACCAAACAGCAAAATTCTGAATGCTGTCCTTAGTGTCTTGTTCTCATCCCCATACTTCCACTAGGTCCCCCTCCCCTCTTATTCCTGGAGAAAACTAAAGCTCTGCCTGCCATATCTCCCTGTGACCCAGTCCCAAGGAACTCCATTTCGTTCCCCAAGGTGGAGGCCCACAGACTGTTCTTAGCTCAGAACTTCCCCAGCCTGCAACTCCTACTTTGGCTGCACCTACCCCTCTGCTAAGCTCCCAGGCCCAGTCTGGTTTCCAACTTTGTGCTTACATTCTGCCTATACCA